TCTTACCCTTCCTTTATCAACCTTCACCCCTCTCATGAGCACCCATCCCCCTGAGCCCCCCTGATGCCCCCTCTGACCCCCCTTGCCCTGTGCCCCCCTAGGGGACCCCGGGGACCCCGAGCCCCCCGAGGAGGACGCGGAGGCGGCGCAGGCAGAGGCGGCCGATGGGGACATGGACGGAGAGGCTGAGGGGGACACAGTGGTCCTGGCTGGGCAGCCTGAGGGGCTCAGCACCCAGGAGATGCAGGTCAGAACCTCCCCAAACCCCCCTGTATCCCCAACCCCCCCTCAGCAACCCCCACATCTCCCGTGTGCCCCTCCAAAGGTGGAGAATGAGCTGGAGGATCTCATTGACGAGCTGCTGGAGCGGGACGGCGCCGATGGGAACAGCACCATCATCGGTGAGGGACCCCCTGCCCCCCAAACTGGGGTGTTCTGGGCACCAGGGACCCCCCTTAAATGTCAGGGGACCACCCTGATGGTGTGACTCCCCCCCTAGTGAGTCGCTCAGGAGAGGATGAGTCACAGGAGGACGTTTTGATGGACGAGGCCCCCTCCAACCTCAGCCAGGCCTCCACCCTCCAGGCCAACCGAGAAGGTGAGACCCCCTCCCTGAATTTGGGGGTTCAGGGGGGGTTTATGAGGTGCCAGGGTGTGATCCACCCCCCTCTGCCCTCTCCCAAAGACTCCATGAACATCCTGGACCCCGAGGACGAGGAGGAGCACACACAGGAGGAGGACAGCAGTGGCAGCAATGAGGATGAGGATGACAGCCAGGATGAGGAAGAGGAGGAGGAAGAAGAGGATGAGGATGATCAGGTGGGACAGGGACACCTGGGACACCCCCTCACACACCTGGGTTCCCATTGTGCCTGTTTTGGGTCAGGGGTGTCAGTCATTTGGGGTCAGGGTACCCCTGTTTCAGAGTTGGGGGGCATTTAGGGTTGGCATTTAGCATTTTGGATCTGGGGTTGTTATTTTGGGGCAAAGTTCCCCCATTCTGGGCCGAGGTGCCCCTGTTTTGGGTCAGGGTGCCCCATTCCTGGTTTGGGGGTCCCTGCTGACCCTCCTCCCTCCCCCCTAGGACGATGAGGAGGGCGAGGAGGGGGAGGAAGAGGAGGATGATGATGATGGCTCGGAGATGGAGCTGGACGAGGACTATCCCGACATGAACGCGTCGCCCCTCGTGCGCTTCGAGCGCTTCGACCGCGACGACGACCTGATCATCGAGTTCGACAACATGTTCTCCAGCCCCAGTACGGCCCTGGGGGGCTGGGGGGGACACAGCAGCAGTTTGGGGGGGCCACGGGGCTGGGTTGGGGGGATCATGGTGGTGATTTGGGGAGGCCACAGCGGTGGTTTGTGGGGGCCACGGTGGCAGTTTGGGAGGGGCCATGGGGGTCTGGGGGGGAACATGGGAGTCTGGGGAGCCCATGTGGGTTTGAGGGGGCCACAGCAGCATTTTGGGGAGTCTGGGCGGATCTCACAGGCAGTTCAGGGGGCTGCAGTAGGTCTGGGGGGGACATGGGGGTCGTGGGGGGGCCATGGGGTGGTTTGGGGGTCCACATCCTTGTTGGGGGGTTCAGGACAGATTTACCTCCCCCCAACGCCTCGTTTTCCCCCTTTTCCAGCCGACATCCCCCCATCCCCCGGGAACATCCCGGCCAGCCACCCGCTGCTGGTGCGGCACGCGGAGCACGGGGGGCTGGGGCTGGGGGGCGGCGCGGGGGGCACCCGCCTGGCCCAGGGGCTGGGCCGGAGCCAGCGGACGCTGCGGCAGCTCACGGCCAACGCCGGCCACACCATCCACGTGCACTACCCGGGGGCTCGGCAGCCCAACCCCCCCCTCATC